TTCACGGTAGCATCCCGAATCAGCTTTCGCAAAATAAGTGTTTTATTTATTTATTCAGAAAATTTGCGAAAATGGCGTACTCTGATATAGTAGTAAGTCGGGGTGTTACAAAATCTTTCTTGGGTGATGGTTTCTTTTCGAGACGACGAGGAAGTCTTCGTGATGTCAAATCTTGATTTGACGTATGGTCCTTGCTCTTGTTTCTCTTAAACTCGATCATCTTCTTCTTTGACTACTAGAGATCACCTCATATGGGAACATGTCTGTTGTGGTTCAGCTTCAAGCCTTGATGGTTCTTTTTATATTTCATTTCAAACCTCCAGGACTTACCTGGACCTATGACTCTTATACATTGAAAACTATTGCTTCTTGCACTTTCTTGACAACATCTTGCCAGTTTAATGAGGTAATCTCTAGATTTAGAACTTAACTCGAAAATTACATAGTTCAGACAATGAAAAGTCCACTGTCTTATCTATGTGCTGAAATATATTGGCTTCTTCTCCTTTTGTTCTTGTTCGACGCCTGCTGGGGTGGCACTGGCAGGGTGGGCGGCTGTCTGGATAGCTAATTACAATTTGATTTGAACAGTGTAGTCCATTAAGAAATAGCTACACTATACTTAACGAATTTATAAACAATTGCCGAAAACACCAAGCTTGGCTAGAGTTCCGATTTATATTTAACTCTTCTAATTTCGGGCTAGAGTTTAGATTTAGTTTAGAGTTAGACTTATCTCTACTTTCTATAATTCTTTTTAGGGTTCTCTTTCTTTTTGGAGGATAGAGTCTATGCCCTTAATATCTCATGTTATATGCTCATGCACTTGCCATAATGAACTGGTTTAGGTGACTTACCTTAGAGTTGGCGTGGCGTGAGCGTGGCGTGGTCATGCTTTTATAAACACTTTAAATATACTAAAATGCTATATGCGCTCTAATACCAAATTGTAGCACCCCGCCTTCTAATTCAAGAATTAAAAAAAATCAGAGTAAAATTTTTGCTTTTTATTTTCAAAAAACTCTAGACTTTTATTTTCGGAAATGCTCATGCTGACTCGCGGGATGTTACTATTCTCTACTTTTCTTATCTCTTTCTCATGCAGACATAATATTAATACATGCCACTTAATCAACTCCATTTAATAATGTTACCATAGAGATCAAGGTAGTACACATGCATAAGTCTGGAGTCTCATGATAACATACTGGGTCTAAATATGCGGAAGCTAAAATAGTAAATACACACATGTTCATAATATATGACATGAAATGCGTGTAAAAAATATGCTCATGACCACGGCTACCATAAGTGCACACGCGCCACGTTGGACTCCGTCACCTAAAAAGAAAGTTAGTGGGGGCGTGAGCATAACCACTATGCTCCGCAAAGATCGGTACTGAGTAAAACAACGTCATTATAACAATATCATGACTTAAGCATATTAGTAATAGAGCTGGAAGAAGGTCGTCGACATAAGTTTGGGATGTTGCCGTCGGAGCTGGGAAGGAGGTCGTCGGAGCTGGCTTGTTGGCGGCAGGCTCGATGTGAAGGCCGTGAGCTGTGGCTAGGCTGACTCCCCGTTGTGAAGGCGAGATGGTGGCGTGCTCGCCGGAGATGGCGTGAAGGTGGTGCGAGCTTGGTGTGGAAGGTGCTAGTTCGATGGGAAGGGTTGAACTCGGACAAAGTCGCCGGTGATGAGTTGCGAGGCGAAGGTGGGTACTCAACTATGGTCGTGGAAGGAGCTCTTGCCAGCGGGATATCGTGCTTTGATAGAAAGAAGGTGGTTCTCTGTCGCTGGAGCTGGAAGGGTCGATGGTTGTAGCTGGCTGAGCTAGGACGACATGGTTCGCCGTGAAGGGATCAAACCGGTTTCTAGGGGCCGCACGAAGCTTGGGTCGCCGTGAAGGTCGTCACCAGCGTCGAGAGGCTCCGGATATCGGAAGGCTGGCCAGAAAAATGAAGGAGATGGTGGTGGATTACTCTGGAATGGATAAGATGGAAGATGATGGAATTTATGGTGGAAAATGAGCTAAGTTTGATATTTATACACACATGAGGGGACTAGGGTTTTGACTTGTTGGGCTTAGACATGTGCTTCTTAAAAACTGGCTTGGTTATTAATCGCTACTTGGGCTCGATTATTTTAAATATCACTTGGACCGAATATTTAACGACTCGATCTAAATACTTGGGCCGGTTGGCCGGAATAAAATGACTCACTTAAATGGGCCCGAAATTTGGGCTCGTTTGGGGATAAAATAAATTTTTCACTTTTCTAATACTCGATTAAATAATTAATCGAGACTTAGACTTAAAATTTTATTTCGTCTCCGAATAAAATTCGAAACTTTTCTCCATGGCTTTGGCTTAAGACTTAGTAAATTATGTAATTAATACTTGATAATCCCACCAACTTCCTGGCAAAATGCCTACGGTTAAAAAACACCGACATGTCAAAATCCAAATTCGAATTGGTTCCTGGTCATATTCATATTATATATCGTAAGATAAGATTAGTACCTCAATCATTTTGATTTACCGTTCCAATCTCTGCATTGATACGCTTGCACCGAGATTTATTGATAAGTTAGGATCGATTTTGGATTGATTAGAGTCTGACTGTATATAAGTTATTTTGAATTTAATCATATTCATTCGATAAAATGAGTAATTTTTTTTTAAAAAAAAGTGTTTATATATTTGGATTTATTTATTTTTCTTCGCAATGATTTAGAATATTATAACCACTCGAGCGAGAACGATGTTCAAATACAACGAGAAAGAACCCCGACTAACACCAAAAGATAAAAGTAACCTCGGAGGACACGCATGACAGCGGCCTAGAACCACAAGACCGTAGCTGAGGAAGAACAACATGAACCCTTAGTCCAAACAAATAACAAACTCACTATGACTTGAAGAGAGAGAACCTAACCACTGCTACAACCGTCTAGCTAGGTGCTCTTCCTTCATACAACAACTAAAAACCAAAGAAAAAGAACAATCAAAAGAGAAACAGACTCAGCAACAAACTGAGAAAAGTTAAGACTTCAAAGAAGAGAACTCGAGCCATTCCTTGAGAGCCTCTAGCACCATAGGGACTGGAAGATTTGATTCTTCAAATAGCCACAGATTTCTTGATTTCCAAAGCTACCAGAGCAAGTAAGTTGTTTAATGGATCCTTGCCTCAACAACCTCTGAATGATCGATTGAGCACACCTGGCACCATAAGAATTCAATATTTATCAGAGTTGCGTATTCCATCCCAGTGAGTTCGCCTAACTTTAGTTTTAATTAATTGATTGGTTAAATATATAATTTATAAAAAATATAATAAGTATAAAGATACATAAATTGTACAATGTGTATAGAAAACAATATAGATGTGGGAAACTATATTAAACAAAATAATAGTTATTATAGTTAAATCGGTTTGTTCTTTTTTTTTTATAATAAAGTTTACATCGATATTGTGCAATCTAATATTCATTAATATACAATTCGTCTAGCAATATTGTGCACGATCGTACATTTTTCATAAACCAAATTGGAACGGAACGAGTTATTGTTTTACCTATTGATTAACGAATTACCCTAAATATTAAAAATAATTTATTTTTACTAATATAAAAAAAATGTGTAGGAGTTTAATAAATTTATATAATATTTGTATATTCTTTTTAATTGGAAAGGCATAATATGATAAATATTAGAATGATAATGTGCATACACATACACAAATGTGTATTTAATCTAGCACTAATGTGCAGTCTATTGAGCATGATTCTGAAAACTGAACCAATCATCGAACCGGTGAGGCTATCAGTTTGATGGTTTACTGGTCGGATCTGTGGTCGAACCGGTTGAATCGGTAAAATGAATATACCATTTTTATTTAGTTTATATACATAATATATAATTATATATTTTTTATCATCAATTTTATAGTGTATGTCGTTTCTCTAACTAAGAATTCAATTATAAATACAACCGATACTTAAATTTCATAGTTTTTTTTTATTTTTTTATTTAAGTTACAATATATAAAGAATATAAACAACTCTATTTTAGTTATTAAATCATATTTTAACTTATTTTATTATTGATTAAAAAAATAAAATAAAAATTATGTGTATAACAAATAAAACTAAATTATCTTATCTTCTTCAATAAATTGAGAATAGATATAACTCAATATAAAAACTAGTAATTTTTTCTTCTAATGAATACAATTTTACTTGTAAGGCCCAATATTGGCCCAATAAGTTCAACAAAGACCTATATTTGTGAACATATCTCGCATTAAAAACACAAGTAAAAAATGTGTGTTATTTAAATGGAATCACAATCAACTCCTAAGAGGTTCAAAACTCATAACCCTTGAACCGCGAACCGGTTCCAGTTCATTGTTCGATCAGTTTTGGACCGATTTGAATGGTTCTTCAGGGTTCAATTGCCTACCTATTTTATGGTCCAAACTGGACCAAATTGAACGCCAGTTCCCGATGAACCGGCTGGTCCGTTCTGATTTTCAAAATCATGCTATTGAGCGGGTAATTTTTATGTTCATTTCAATTTTTAATTTTTTAATAATGTCAATTTTATTTAATATTACTATGCATTTATCAAATTCGCACTTATAAATTTTTATTTTACATTTTATATTATTGTGTTTTTGAAATAAATAATATATATAGATAAAATATAAAAAATAATATATTTTGTCCCAAATCAAACTAAAATCAAACCAAAATAATCGGATTATTTGATTGTTTATATGAATTACCCTTAAATTAAAATAATTCATTATGTATATTATACAAATACATTTTGTATCTTAAAATTATAATTGACATTTTTATTATTTTTTATTATAAAGATATAATATATAAAATGCAAAAATCGATAACGTGCACCCACATGCATTAATATGCAATTTAATGTATGTCAGACACTCTGACCGGCTGGAAATCAGCTCGCCCTCGTCTTCCTCGCCGGTAGAATGCTGAGTACGTGCAAAACTCTTACACAGGAGGGGTTTGTTAGATTTTGATTAATTTTATGTCCCACATCGGATGCATACCAAAGATGTGTAGGATATTTTTAGTGTTGGGTTCTATGAGGAACGTCAAACAACATGCACAATATTGAACTTATCGAAATAAATCCTAACTCAGCAGAATCTATAGTTAGGATATGGACGTTTACCTTTTTAAAATTTTTGCCCACTCTGAGACGATGTAGAGTACCATTGATGTAGATTGTCGAATACCACAATCTAATGGGCGGATAGATTTGGCCTTTATTCGATTCTAATCGAAGGTTCCAACGAAGCTTGGTTCACGGTATGCGGGTCTCGGGTCAGTTGCAGTTGCTAGACACGAGTCACGGTCACTGGCAGCAGTTGGTCGCGAGTCGCGGCCGCTGGCAGCAGCTTGCGGTTCGGCGCAGGCGACTTCCGGCGACTTCAGGCGGCGGCGATGTTTTTCCAGCGGTGGTCGACAGCGGCGATGGGCGGCGATCGGCTGAGGAGGTGACCAAAACATATATATGTATAAAGGCTCAAGTATATTGTACCAAAAAGCCTTCTAACGGATTACCTAAACACCTACTTCGGTTAAACTTGGTGGAGCTATTAATTGAATACCCTAACTCTCGAACAATGCTATCTCTCACGTATGTAGGAGTGACAAAATCCGCCAACACATTGATCTTCAAGTGATTGGGACATGGTTTATTTATAGGCTCCATTAGAGACCTTAAGGAGGTGCTAACTATGGGTTTATCCCATTAGGCCTAGGAATCCTAATTCTACTCCAAATACTAATCCATTGTAGGAAAGAAATCTCCTACTAATCTAACATTTCTAGAAGACTTCTTAGTCTCCTAAAACTAAAGAAGATTCTAGTCGGAATACTTTTCCCAATTAAATTAGTAATCATGGAATAAAATTAATTCATAATTTAGGAAATCTAATTCTACTCCAATTAATAATCCAATGTAGGAAATATTTCTCCTACTAATCTTCATCTTCTAGAAGACTCCTTAGTCTCCTAACACTAGAGAAGATTCTATTAGGAATATTACTTCTTAATTAAATTAATTAATATGGAATAAAATTAATTCCAATTTAAATGGAATTAAATAAAAAAAATATCCCACTAGAGTAATATTATTGCTCTCCCCATTTAGCCACTATTTTACCAATAAAATCGAGCCCCCATGATTAAATAATATTAATCCGATTGATCGATTTACCTCCCTATGTTTAAGATATAACGTCCGTTGATTAATTAAATTACTGAAAAAATAATCAATCAACTTCTTATTCATTTCCAAAATTAGTACCACTCAGAAACTTAACCATTAAGTCAGACAATCGCCTACCTGCAGGGTTTAACATAATACATTCCTGAGCTCATTTTGGGGACGTCATCAATCCAGCGCACTGGAACATAGTGACCATAAATAATTTATAATAGCACATCATATAATTATTCTTACTTACCAAAATACCTCGTATGTCATCCTAATAAAATAGGAATCACTTGGTAAATCAAATAAATAAGAGATAAATATTTATGCCTATTTTATATTATCTTACAACTTAAGATAATGCATCAATCACTGAAGGTCTAGGTTACATCAATGATCTGTGAGTCTCATAACCTTCT